CACTGACCCACCAGGCATCGTTTTTACAGTTAGCCGATGTTACGAAAGTCAAATTTACCCTTCAGGCCCATCGTTTACCTCGTGGCACTTTGACATATGGTTTGACAAACTCGATGTTTTGTCGTCTTATTTTGCCGGCCAAGGACTCACCAACAACTGGCTTCTGCGAATCAGTTCCTTGAACGCCAGACTAATCCATAGTATACTTTTATGTCAATTCATTCTTCACCTCCATTCCGAAACGTCCAGCGATAGATTGTATGAAACAGTTAGCCTGAAAGAGACAAGCCCCTAAAGTTCAAACATGTGCTCGAGCTTCTACAACGCTGCCTGAAAACCTGTTTTACTTTTGGTGGGCAATTGCAATGGACGAAGGAAAGGCACTCATATGAGCTCCCTTCGAAAAGGGCTGATTGCAAAAGTAGTCCTGCAACGGATATAACGTTCGATATTCACCAAGTATCGACCCAAATTTTGGTCCCGTTATGTCGACGACAGCGTCGTCGTTATCAAATCAGCCGACATTGAGCACCTGAATATCCAGTCCACGGTGGAAGGCCAAACCAAATAACCAACTGCACTTTCTGGACGTGCTGGTGCGCCGGCGTGCAAATGCATAACTGCAAGTCACGGTATTTAGAAAAGCCACCGACATGAATCATACATTACACTTTAACAGCAACCACCCTGCGTCTTAAGAATTTCATCGCGTCCGCTCACTATTTAAAGGGGTCAATGAACATTACAGTATGCCAGCAGACAAAAAAGCTGAACGACTATGACTTCAGAGCTAATAGATATCCTAACTATGTTATCGGGTAAGGTAGGCGCCAGTCAAACAGACGACAGAAACAGCAACCATTCCTTACAATAAAGAAGTCTCCGAGGTGATTTTTCGACTGTTAAAACCCACCAAGAGTAGACATAGCCCACCGACCCAAAGCAGCAACTGGTCGTCATTTGCTGTATTCCAAGGACACGCTGCCAATCAGTGAAAATTCAGCGGTTGTTTATAATACATTTATTTACGATAGCGACTGTAATTATATTGGAGAAACTGGTCAGAAATAGCGGACCCAGTTACAGGAGCACAAATTGGCAACTGGGAGGCTAGATCCCAACTTGAAACGCACGTTGAAGAAACTGGTTATACTTGCGATTTCCAAGGCGCTACCATCTTAGGCGGGGACAACTCAAGGACGGAGCGGCTTACACTTGAGGTGTGATATTCGGATGCTGAGAAGACGGCCGAGCAGAACTTAAGGAAGTTGCAAAGACGCAACCCGAGAAAACAAATCTAGTCTAGAGAAGAAAAGGAGCCGCCGGAACAAACAACATCGGTGGGGGCTCAACCACCCCCGTCCGCCTCCCTCCCCCATCGAAGAGTGATTCAACGCGCGCAGTTAGACTGCCGGCCAAACGTCTACCGAAGGACCGAGGCAGCGACCAAAATATCGATTGGTCTGAGGCCGACAAACAGGCGACGGCACGCCACTTCCGGTTCCATTCGGTTAACTGGAGTTAACGCATTTTCGGTGATGAGCCGACAAAGCTCCCCCAAATGACAGCATATGAATGAAGTTGATCCGGTGAGTCCGCCTTATTTCTCAATCTGGAGCTCTCACCTTTGCCAATCTGACCAATTAATTTTAGATTTTCGCGCTGGACATTGACTGGTCGAGGATGGCATTCGACCAGGGAAAGCTTGAATCTCACCGAAATGGCCGCGGAGATTAAATCCATCCTATGAAATTTTAATGCAACGGATTCGTAATATGTTTGACTCTCAATGATTCTAGATTCCGAATACTCTAGAAAACACTTAGTTGGGCCAGTCGATTATTCAAAATAAAAGTTGATAAACTGTAAAAACCCCTGAGGTAATATCATTCTATTAATTTGCTTATTAGAGTTATTTTTTGCTTACCTGAACTTATAATTGTCCTACGATGAAAATGTCAAGAATATAGCTTGTCTTTTGCACAGAAAAGAAGAGCGTCAACTAGAAAGAATCTCAGTCGAGTAGTCTACGTAACTCATTAGGCAGGACAACAGAGCACAGGGCTAACCGGGTACACCAGCGAGATGCGCATCGTGACAGTGACTCATCGTCTGTGACGTGAGGGGAACGAGGGCAGCAGTTTAGACACTTGTCGGTCATTAGGCGTTCGCTGATGGGTTCTGGCTAAAGTTAGTCGAATTGGTCGTATGTAAATGTCCCTCGCCAGCACAACACAATAACATAAAGAGAAAAATGGACACCAGGTGTTTACATTGTACGACTGGATCAATGAGGAAACCTGCAAGCTCAGGTTAGTTATCACTGGTTTGCCGATAAACGAGGCTTTCAGAAGTTTGTTCCTTTAAGTGTGCGCTGAAAGTGGGACAAACTGGTAGGGAAGTAGAGACTACCGAAGCACTCCAAAGTAAATATCGATACTAGAAATGATAATAGAAATAGCCAT